ATCGCTTGAATCCAAGAGGCGGAGGTTGCAGTGAGCCAAGATCGCACCACTGGGCTCCAGCCTATGTGACAGAGCAAGAGCCTGTCTTAAAAACAAAACAAAACAAAACAAACAAACAAAAATCACGCCTCTAATCCCAGCACTTTGGGAAGCCAACGTGGGTGGATCACCTGAGGTCAGGAGTTTGAGACCAGCCTCGCCAACATGGTGAAACCCTGTCTCTATTAAAAATACAAAAATCAGCCAGGTGTGGTAGCACGCACCTGTAATCCCAGCTACTCAGGAGGCTGAGGCGGGAGAACTGCTTGAACCTGGGAGGTGGAGGTTGCAGTGAGCCGAGATCACATCACTGCACTCCAGCCTGGGCAACGGAGTGAGACTCCATCTCAAAATAAATAAACAAAATTAAACAAATAAATAAATAAACAAAAATTAGAAAGAGTCCTAGAGACAGGGGAGAACAGAGCCCCAGAGATAGGGATGCAGTGACCCAGGAGAATGGCCGGAGACCCAGAGGAAAAGAGAAGGGGCCTGAGACTCTGAAAGAAAGGTCATGGCTGGAAGAGAGAGAGGTTCAGGACCCCGAGTATCCCCCATGTTCTCACCTCCCAGCCCTCCCCGGTGTCCCCAAACTCCTTCCTCTGAGTGGATGTGAGGAACTCCTCCAGGGTCACGAGGCGGTCCTGGTTGGTGTCCACCTGGGGAGCCAGATAAGGGTGAGTGACAGAGCTGGGGCCCCGTCTTCTCCCCCGCCTGGCCCCCCGCCCGGCTCCCCCCTCACATTCTTCATCACGTGCTCCCGCATGCGCAGCCGCTCCTCCTCCATCTCCCGCATGTCGTCCTCCTCATTCTTTGGGTCGTACACCTTCTCCAGCTGCAGGAGCAAGCGAGAGGCAGACGGCATTGAGAGGTCCCGAGCGAGCTCATTCCCAGGCTACCCCTTCCTCGTTAGACACACAACCCGACAACTTCAACTCCCAGCAGTCCTTTGGGCACTCCACCACTCCCGGCAGCTGTTTTTGCCCCAGGGGCTGATGGGAGTTGTAGTTTTCACTGAGCTCCCATCCAGGAGGATTTAAGGGGACTGCAAGGAGGAAATAAGTGGCTGATCTGGGAGTCCCTCCAGGTGCCCGAGGCTTCCAAGATGCTCACCTCCTTGGTGAAGAGGGCCTCCAGCTCCTGCTCGTCCAGGACACCATCACTGTTGATATCTGAAGGGAAGGAGATAGCAAGGTATCTCAGGTGACCGAGGACGGGGTGCGTCAGGTCCCTGGTGAAGAAACTTGGGGCGGATGTGGGGTCTGTTATCAGAGGACAGGTAACTACAGATCTCGCGCGGTGGAACGGTGGCCCCCAGGCTTTAGCACCCCACTAGGCCCGTTGCTAGGGCCACTGCCTAGCGACCAGGGGGCTGAGAATGGAAGAGATGAAAAAGAGGGTTCGAGGAAACATGCTTGGGTCACTGTCATGCAGGATTCTCTGGCCCTGGCATCCAGTGCTCTGGACACAGAGTCAGCTCCAGGGTTATCAGGGACCTCTGCTTCCCAGAGAACCAGGCCAGTGCCGACTCCAGTCGTCAGGGAGAGCCTCTCCTACCAATGTAGACCCCACAGCTGCAGGGCTTCAGGCTCGGTCGGCCACACTCACTGTCACCACCGGCCCTCCTCCTTCCTGGGCTCCCTCAGACAAGCACAACCTTGCTCCTGCGGAGGAGGCCAGGAACCCTCATCTTGCAAATCCCGTGGTTCATTTTCCGCCTGCATCTGACTTGACTTTCTGCCCTTGACTTCCAGAACATGATTCTGTCCTCTCTGGCTGCCCCTCCATCTCCTTTGACGGCTCCATCCTCTTCCTGACCTCCCCGTGCTAGTGCGGCCTAGGGCTCAGGCCTGGGGGTCTCCTCTGCCTCAACTCTGGATCTGTGCTGTCCAATACAGTAGCCGCTAGCCACATGGGCTGTTTAAATTTAAATTGATTAGGATTAAAGAAAATGTAGGGGCCGAACTTAGAGACTCATGCCTGTAATCCCAGTACTTTGGAAGGCTAAGGCAAGAGGATTACTTGAGCACACAAGTTCGAGACCAGCTTAGAAAAGATAGCTAGACCCCGTCTCTACAAAAAAAAAAAAAAAAGAAAGAAAAAAAAAGTAAAAAAGTGGGCTGGGCACGGTGGCTCACGCCTGTAATCCCAGCACTTTGGGAGGCCGAGGCAGGGGGATCACCTGAAGTCAGGAGTTCAAGACCAGCCTGGCCAACATGGTAAAACCCTGTCTCTACAAAAATACAAAAATTAGTCAGGCATAATGCCAACTGCCTGTAGTCCCAGCTACTCAGGAGGCTGAGGCAGGAGAATAGCTTGAACCCGGGAGGCGGAGGTTGCGGTGAGCTGAGAGCGCGCCATTGCACTCCAGCCTGGACTCTGCCTCAAAAAAA